TGCTTGTTTTGGGGCTGCCTTGCTTCTGTCTTTACATTCCATGTACCAATTTTGCATGTTTGGTATAGCTATAGGCCATTTCGGGTGCCATAATTCATATTTCGGGACTTTTCCATGCATCGGGTGCACTTTCGCCTAATTTCGGGACTGTTTTCACCAATATATATTGTAAGCACTGGTGATCAAAGAAGTTCAAGCCCATTAAAACTTGTCACCATGTCAGGCTTGGTATAGATTCAGGAAAACAGAACTTTTCCTTTGTTTTTACCATTTTACTTGACAGGTGAAAAAGCTCATTGGGCTTGAATCCATCTAATCACCACACTCAACAGGAAACATCCACGGGCATACCTTCAAAGTGGCAATGAATGGTAGAAAAAGATCTCTCTGTAGTCCACCTTCATAAAGATTATCTGGGGCACGATTTGAAGTAGAAACAAGAATCTATACTAGCAGACATCATGTATTAATTTCTTAGTAGAAAATGAAAATCAATGGGATGAATGCGTAGAAGGCTGGGAAAATGGAAAATATAGGAGGCTTAACTACTTACCATGCCGTTGCTGAATAATTGTCTAAATAAACGGTTTAGTATCAATGCATCAGCAACATCAGTAACCTATGAAAGACCACAAAAAGAGCAAAATTAACAATAGGCCACAAAATATAAAGCTAGCGGATGTCATCCATGATTATAGACAACAGAAACCATGCTTTTATTTCCAAGTTCCAACATACCATAAATTCATCTAGGCATAACAAAATTGATTCATCAGATATCTCCCCTGCTACAACTTCAAGGGGATCCAGCACACCCTTATGCTTCTGCAATTATACAATACTATAGCATTAAATTTATACTTCAGTACGCAGCACCTATTTCCAAGTAAAGTCGCCAAGAAGAAGATGGAAATTGGTCCAAAAGAAGATATTTTTGACTAAATTTGAAAGTACTTTTCAGGATAGAGCCATGGTCCATGAACTCTAAGATTTAGCTATCTTGACCACCGATTCAATGAAATGAACGGCTAGAGAAGAAGATCATATATCCAAGATTTTTGTTGTATGACATTTAGATGGCAACTCATCTTGGAGATGCTCACTGGCTCATTAAAAACTGTCAGTACTAGTGTCAATTACTTGTGGTGCAAATGACAAGCGGCAAACAAAACAGTCAATTTCTAACAAACTTTCTATCTTGTTTGCAGTTAGAAGAAATATGGATAATTCTTACTTGCAAGCGGCTATCCAACATGAAATCATGAAAATGAATCCTCTTTTTCCTCCAGTTGCTAGGCCTGAAAGTATAAATACAAATTACGAGGGAAAAAAACAGTGAATAATAATTGCTTAGTATTCCCTCGGCATTATGCTTTATGATTTGCAATTGATGGTGGGCAGCTCATGTTCTTATATTCAAGTCAATGTTAAGGTCACCTATAAGGCAAATTAATTATGCACATCAAACATACAATTGATCAAAAAACAAGTCCATCAGCATGGTCCATAGAGATAGAGTCCTTTCACAGGTGAGTATGAAGACTGAGGAATGAAACGGGACCACAACCGACTACTCCTAAAAATGAAAAAAACAGTGAATCAATGACAATGAAGTTATAAACTCTATTAAAAATTGACAACTCCAGAACTTTGCTTACTTCTACAATCAAATCAAATTAAAACCCAAATCGAAATGTGAACATCATGCTAAAGATTATTTAACAAAATTGAAAAGGATAGAAAGGCAACCTCCATTAGCTACTTTAGGAATAATTGTGTATAGTTGTAGGAATATCTACAAATTTCAGCATTGTAGGAGAATCTGTAGACAGAGCAAGTACTAGCCAAATAATTTTGTTTTCTTGATAACCCACTTAATGGTCGAACAAATCGAACAATTGTTCTCATCTGAAACAAATCCAATGTTGAAGTGCTTCAAGAGTAATTCACAAGAACCGAAATGCAAAAAGGTTCTGAAACAAATAGGACTCAAATATTATATTTTGTTATCATATTAATAGAATAGAATATATTCCTACAACTCTACACAATTATAGAAAATGAGTGAGAGCACTAATTAGTGCCATCACTAATGATGTGATAGTGGATCCTATCAGAAATGATTTGATATTTTGACCTTAGTGTTGTATCTATCATTCTTGCACAATTATTAACCCTTTGGACAGTTATGCAACTCCGAAAAGAGCTACTAAAAAGTGACAATTGTTAAAAAAATAAATAAATGTAAAACAGGGGATAGATAAGAATAAAAAATTACATAAAAAAAACAAGTTAAATTTGAACATTCACGTCACCAAAGAAGAAAAAATAAAATAATAAAAAACAAACAAAAACAAAAACCTAGATTATAGTAATCTAAATTCAAAATTACAAAAACCCAATTGGAATTTCGAAAAATAACACACACACATACACACAATATCAAAGAATGATTATTGATTTTCTTTACTGTTTCCAATCAAAAGTAAAACCAATATTTTCACCAGAAAATAAAATATTTTTTAAAGAACTAACGAAATTTTACAGTAATACAGGAATTGAGAGAAATGAACGTACAAATCTTTACTTTAGCTGAATTAGGAGAAGAATCCTAAAAACACCCAGAACTGTGCTGAACTTGAAAAAAGAAAAAAGACGGATCTTTCACCGATTGAACAATCCTATACCTATGAATGAATTATTGTGGAGACATGGCTATTTTAGCCCCAAATTTGAAAAAAAAAAAGTCAGTAGCCGTTACTGTAGCAAAGGGAGAGAGAAGTGGCCAGCTGTATGTCACTAAGTGGGTAAAAAGACTTTTTTACCCTTCGTTGATGTTTTTCCGCAGACCGAAAGGACAACTTCAGTCAATGCCTATCATCTTCAGTCAACTTCTTTTTATTAATTTTTTTTTTAAAATTAAAAGTTGGTAGAAGTGAAGGTCAAAGTTGAATAATAAATTGTATTTTTTGTAATAATTATATTTATTTCTTTAATTGTAACAATTATAAAATTAAAAGAAAGATGAAATAATAAATATAAAATGATTTAACTTATATTATTTATTTCTGTATAAAATAATTATTCAGTTTCCAGAAGCAAAATATATAATAAAATTTAAAGCAAAAGTTATGCTATTTGTATAATTAAAATGAGACTAATTGTATAATTATTATAAAATATAAAATGAGAGTAATTGTACAATATATTATAAAATATAAAATATTAAAATATAAAATATAATAATTGTAATAATTATATTTTTTTTGTATAATTAATGAATTTGAAAGAAAGGTAAAAAAATTTATAATATTTATTTCTTTAATTTTTGAAATGAGACTAATATTTTAAAATAATAAAACTTCGAATAACAAAATTAATATTTTGGTAAAGAGGAAGTAACAAGTTTTGAGTATTTATTTCTATACTGAGATTTGTTGATGTTGTTGATTTATTAATTAATAAATCAAAATTTATTATAAAAATGTCCACCGACTCCATGAACTTAATTAATTTATTATTAGGGCTGGCGACCCAAGCCCCCTGCACATGTGGCCCTACTCCCATATAGAAAATTCACTAACTCAACCCGAAACACCTCAGATCCAACCTCGCACCTTCCGAAACAAGTGAAACTCGAAATCGAAATAAATAAGAACGAGAATTTGGATAGCAAGTTTTCAAAAACAACGAACCCAATGGTTACAAAACCTCGCATTAGAACCCAACACTATAACGAGAGTAAATCCAACATAACTCAAAGAGGATGAGACGAATAACGTACCCGATTATCACAGCACGGGTGACATGCTAGTAAATAAATAATTAAGAGATAGTGAAATAAATATAGAATAATGCTATATGCACCAATTAGTGCATTAACTAGTGTACCAATTGATGATGTGGCATAATTTAAGAGGTTTTTGGTATTTGTAATGTGATTAATGAGTGAGGTCAATAATAATGTCATAAATAGTGTTGGTACACTAGTTAGTACACTAATTGGTGCATGTAGCACCACCGAATAATATATACTGTTTTTTTGGTAATTATTAAATGTCTAATTAAATGGGTGGTTCTCCACCGAGAAAGACAATCATGTGCATTTATTTTGGGAACAAGATTAAAAGTCAGTGTATTAGCTTTTTAGTTTTTTTAGATCAGATCACCTTTTTATTTTTTTTACACATTTTTTCAAAAAAAAAAATCTAAAAATAAAAAGTCAACTTTTAATCTACTTCTCAAAATAGGCCAACCTCATACAAAATTTTTATTACAAAAAAAATATATAACTTTAGCATCACACTTTTAGGGGAACACATCATGACTTTGTTATTCATAATTTTTATCACAAAAATTATTATTTTCTTCACAATAATTTTGTAACTCCCACAACAAAAATCATAACTTTTCTTACGATATATACTTTTTAAGAGTGCACATTGTAGTATTTCCTTTCTTGAATATAAAAAATTAAATAAATTTATATACATAAAATTTATTCGATAAATTGTTTTGTTGAAATTATTTTTTGATAAAGCTTTAATTTGTTTCCTGTATTTTCAAATACTACCTTCTCATAAAAATAAAAATGCATATGAAAATGAAGGGTATAAAAAATTTCATTGTTGGAAGTTCTAACTTAGAACAAAACATTGAAAATGAAAAAGATAATGGGGGGTTTGGTGCGGTTGTTAAAACAGATTATTAATTATAGTTTAATGAATTATAAATTATAATTTTAATCAATTATCTGATGGGTGCAACTGCTAAATTATAAATTTAAGTCACTGAATAGTGTTTGATAAATAAACTGTAAAATAACTTTTTGAATTAACTTCTATTTTTTGTTATTCGTTACTAGTCTACATTTTTCACAGAAAATAATAATGATAATCCATAGTCCATTCGGGTCTTTTTCTCTTTTTTAAAAAATAAAAAAATAAAAAAAAATCTATGGGTATAATCATAAATTAACATGTCCACAACAGAAGCTGATAATCAGAGGCAGATAGTGGACAACTTCTCATAATCAACATTTTTAAGTTAAAATAAATTGTCAAAATCAGAAGTTGTTTGAAATAGATTTAATCAAATAGTTTAAAATAAATTTGTCAAAGTTAGAATTTATAAGTTGGTTAAAATAAGTAACACCAAACACATCCTCATTGAAAATCCAGGTATATGGAAAAATTGGTCGTGTTTGATTTCGTAAAAAAATGTTAAAAGTTGTGAACGTATCCATAGAAAAATTTAGTTTGTGGAAAAATTGGTCATGTTTAATTGTTTTTCTATGATTTGTGAAAAAATTGGTCGTGTTTGATTTCGTAAAAAAATGTTAAAAGTTGTGAACGTATCCATAGAAAAATTTAGTTTGTGGAAAAATTGGTCATGTTTAATTGTTTTTCTATGATTTGTGAAAAAATTGGTCGTGTTTGATTTCGTAAAAAAATGTTAAAAGTTGTGAACGTATCCATAGAAAAATTTAGTTTGTGGAAAAATTGGTCATGTTTAATTGTTTTTCTATGATTTGTGAAAAAATTGGTCGTGTTTGATTTCGTAAAAAAATGTTAAAAGTTGTGAACGTATCCATAGAAAAATTTAGTTTGTGGAAAAATTGGTCATGTTTAATTGTTTTTCTATGATTTGTGAAAAAATTGGTCGTGTTTGATTTCGTAAAAAAATGTTAAAAGTTGTGAACGTATCCATAGAAAAATTTAGTTTGTGGAAAAATTGGTCATGTTTAATTGTTTTTCTATGATTTGTGAAAAAATTGGTCGTGTTTGATTTCGTAAAAAAATGTTAAAAGTTGTGAACGTATCCATAGAAAAATTTAGTTTGTGGAAAAATTGGTCATGTTTAATTGTTTTTCTATGATTTGTGAAAAAATTGGTCGTGTTTGATTTCGTAAAAAAATGTTAAAAGTTGTGAACGTATCCATAGAAAAATTTAGTTTGTGGAAAAATTGGTCATGTTTAATTGTTTTTCTATGATTTGTGAAAAAATTGGTCGTGTTTGATTTCGTAAAAAAATGTTAAAAGTTGTGAACGTATCCATAGAAAAATTTAGTTTGTGGAAAAATTGGTCATGTTTAATTGTTTTTCTATGATTTGTGAAAAAATTGGTCGTGTTTGATTTCGTAAAAAAATGTTAAAAGTTGTGAACGTATCCATAGAAAAATTTAGTTTGTGGAAAAATTGGTCATGTTTAATTGTTTTTCTATGATTTGTGAAAAAATTGGTCGTGTTTGATTTCGTTAAAAAAATATGAAAAGTTGTTAAAGTATCCATGGATTTGTTCAGTTGACTTGTTGACTTAAAGTTACATTTAATTGAGAGAGAAATTATTCAGCATTCTCAGAACAATACTCTATTTTATCTATAATGGACACTTAACTATTTATCTCCTAAACTTGCAATACA